TTCACAATGCAGTCATTTTGACTGCTTTTGGGCAATATAGGTATATACTAAGTTTCAGTCTTTCTAGTGTTAAGGGAAGGTATCTTTAAGTGATCCATAACAAACAACACTTGAAGTCGACTGATAAATCAGAGAAATTATTGGATAATTGTGAATAGGATTAAGAATTGCGTATTACTTGAGTGCTTGGCTACTTCCAAAAATCTTGTTTTCTGCCAGCGCATCGTTATCGTTAATTGATTTTCGCCTCAGGATTAACAAGTTCTCGCCTGAGTGGACGATCAATTGAATCACAACCAGGGGAACTTGGGACAGGAAGGAAACGACGCTGTTATGTCGATAATATTCAAACGTTGATTTACTAAGCAAAGGATAAAATCCATCTAATAGATTAACTTGGACTTTAGTCGATGCAGAATTTGATTTTCAATGGATTCCACGACTCAATATGTGGAAGCCTGACACGAAGTGCAAGGATTCATTTCAACAGGATGAGTGATCGATCTCTAAACTTTGCAAAAAACAAATTGAACGTTCAGTAATTTCCATTTTATGTAATTGGCCTATTGGTCACGGAGGCTCGGAAAAAGTGAGTTACGGATTTACTTTTCAGCTGATTGTTCTACTTTTTATCGTCCAATTTCGCATTTTATTTCAAGTACCCATCGTGCGCCTCATACTTTATTATTCACTTTCACTTGTTTTTCCAAAGTGGGATCTGATGAAATCAATTACTTACACGTCTGAGCAATTGGAGCGTGCATCCGTTTTTTTAATCGCTCTTTTCCGACGAAGGAAGCTTGTAAACTTTTTCCAAGTCTCGCAGCGATAAATATTTATGAGACTATTATATTGAAGCCTGGGTTATCAGCGCATTTTATAGATCAAAAGAAAACTGTTTTGAATTTACGATACTGATTGCCCCGGTAATTACAATATAAAAATGCTGACACTGTCACGTGCCGCAGCACGCAATGAGCCCGTCTAGGTGGCACGTGAGATCCGGCGTTGATTAAATGCGTACGTCAATTACATTCGCGTTTAATTCATTCGCGATCCGTGCGGCTGCGATTTGAGACCGCGATTCCAATTGACGTCCCTAATCGTTCGCGTGAGTTGTTGCCCCTACCCCAGATTCTCTCAACTTAAACTGTGTCAGCTACTTAAGTCCCGTAGATATTCCAGAGAATCCTATCAGTTCTGTGTACTTACCGATGATTAATTTTATTCAACGTCGATTAGTTCCAATTCGATTGGTTCCAATTTGTTTTTAAAAGTTTTAAGATTATTATTCTTATAAATTCTGTGCTATTTTCCTGTCGACGGGTTTAAAGTGACGAAATTATTTTCTTACGCTTTTCCAGAAGCTTGCAAGATTAAATGCAGTAGCACTGAACATTTTCAAGAAGATACAAAGAGTCGTGTGATAAATGTTGCAATTATTGAATTAACCGTAAGTTTTCAGTAATATTCGAAAGTGCTTTCGTCCTCAAACGACTTGAACAACAGAATAAAGTTTCCCAAGACTGTCCAAGGCTTAGGATTCTCGTCACGAACTCGACGTTTGTAAGGTCACTGTCTTTGTGCCAATGCATACGAATTTCTCAAAGCCGCTTTCGCATCAATTTTTCCAAACACGAAAGCGTCTGTTTGCGAATTAAAAAAGAGATTCACAATAAACTGGAGATTTGATACATTTATCAGAAAATCTGTAACGCTACATCTGATACATAATATCAACAGTTTACTACGTACTCCAATAAATGATAAGAGAAATGTATTTTTTGAGCCGATTAGTACAAACGTACAGCTGCTAACCATAATACCGCAAGCACGTAGGCCACAAATCTGGTCAATCCAATTTCTCGTATGAAGTGCAATCAAGAGAGGAAGTCGATGGAGAATTATTACGCGATTGTGTTGCCGCGTCCAAATGGAAGGCGGAGACGAACGTGACGTGGATTAATGCGACACATAACATTTCCACCGTTTTTCCATCGTGATTAATCATGAACGATCGTGAGGACGTTCGGCTTTATTAATATTTCAAATGATACGTCCTAATATATCCGGATCGATATCTACTATCACGAAAAAGATAATTAAAAACCGAGCGTCTCGTAACTGTGGCGCTAATAAAACTTTAATACATATACACTTACTTAATATACATGCAAAATTTGTAACAGTAAAGTACAGAATAGTTGTGAGGCGCGATATATGTGTGTTAATAACGGTGTAGATTACACTATAGACCTTTTACCTTTTCTCTGTTCCAGGGAAGAACCTCTACAATAACGAGCATGTTGCAATTAAATTGGTGAGTTCATTAAATTTTGAAACCGATCGCGACCTTTTAACTGAAATTCCAGTTACCACGGTACCTCTTTATTTTTAACGACATAAAAACACAAGTGCTAATTAATCCCTGCTAACGAATCGACTAATAATTACACGTCACAGCAAAATTACACTTTGCGCAAGCTTAGAAACGAAATTCCGAGTGAAGAACGAGTAGATCTTACTCGTTTCATTATCGTTTTCTAGGAACTGATGAGGTCAAAGGCGCCGCAGCTACACTTAGAATATAGGTTTTACAAATTATTAGGTACACATGGTGAGTATCCGGTTTGGAGACTCGAAACGTTTTGAGTTTCCAATTATTTCATATTTTTAATTTTGTACAGAGGGTATACCGGAGGTATACTATTTTGGTGCTTGCGGGAAATACAACGCCATGGTAATGGAACTCCTCGGGCCGAGTCTCGAGGACTTGTTCGACCTCTGCGGTAGGAGGTTTACCCTAAAGACCGTTATCAAAATCGCCACGCAGATCGTAAGTACACTAAACGTTATCCAGCCACCTCGTTCATATTCAATTATAAATCACTCGATCATAATGAGAAATTCATTCATCATCAAGCTACTTTCCGAGTTGCGTAATAATTAATAAGAGTATAAATGATAATGAAATTGGTGATTGGTTGACGCAGCTTCACAGGATAGAGTACGTTCACAGCCGGCATTTGATCTACCGCGACATCAAGCCGGAGAACTTCCTGATAGGACGATCGGCAACAAAACGGGAGAAGATCATCCACATAATCGACTTCGGACTGGCCAAAGAGTACATAGAGCTGGAGACGAACAAACACATACCGTATCGGGAACACAAAAGCTTGACCGGCACGGCGCGTTACATGAGCATCAACACGCACCTTGGAAAAGGTATAACTTTTACAACGGGCCGGTTTAGATATCACACGAGGCGGCGCCCGACCATCTGCAGAAACTGGTGTTCGATTCACTACATACGTAACGTACACGGAGAAAGTTGTACGCGACCGCCTCGGCACACGCTATAAATTCGCTTTAATTTTACTCCGGACTATTGTACGATATCATGGCTGAGAAAAGTATAAAGTAACGGTTTATTATCGTTTGTCTAGAATTGAGAGCTCGTATTATTAATAGACTCATTTATAACAAAAAATAGGATGTGGAGGCACAAATAGTACAACAGATTAATTTTTCATTCAGTTTAATGATTCAAACTTGAAAGATGAACAAGCGGCAATTAAAACTTTTGCTTGAAAGCTTTGAGCGACAGTGTTAACACGGATGACGAATCCTTTCTCCTTTGCGAATCAGAGCAGAGCAGAAGAGACGACCTGGAAGCGTTAGGGAACATGCTGATGTACTTCCTACGAGGCAGCCTGCCGTGGCAAGGACTGAAGGCGGACACGCTTAAGGAACGATATCAGAAGATCGGCGACACGAAACGGAACACGCCGATCGAGGTTCTCTGCGACGGTCATCCTGAAGAGATGGCCACGTACCTGCGGTACGTCCGTAAATTGGATTTCTTCGAGACGCCCGACTACGAGTACCTGAGGAACCTATTCCACGACCTGTACGAGAAGCGGGGTTTCGTCGATGACGGCGAATTCGACTGGACCGGGAAGACGATGGTGCGTGATCCGCTAATGATCCTCAAGTGATAATACGTCGTCACTTTCTATTTTTTATCTCTTCGCAATGCATGGCACGGAAGGAAGACAGAGTTGCATGATGGTTGATTGTGCCCAGAGATGAAGCACGTATCGCAAGAGTCGATATCGAAACCTATTATAGCGGAATTCTTTTACTATTCTTTTACTGTTCTTTTGATATTCAAACTATTTCCATTCATATGTCAGTAATACTGTCGACTTTATTATTAGATCACGCAAATTAAAAGATTTTTATCAATGATACTCGATTACATATAATGTCTATCGATCGAAACGCACTTTCCGCACGTAGTATATAGATACATACATATAGTTTAGACATACCGCGTAGTAACTCCGAGATATCGTCTCTTCTGGGTAAGTAAGTCGTCCACAGTATTCTTTCTCGATGCTGCCTCTCACCGTGTTGGTTGAAAATCATGTTTCACTGATTTTTAACGTTTGCATGCTGCCCCCAATCTATCTCTAGCCATCCAACTACGAACATCTCAGAGCTTTGAGGATGGCTGCCCCCTCTCACCTCGGAAAGACTAAGTCTGATAAGGTGGGTGATAGACCATTAACCACCGTTCGACAGCTTGAAACCGAGAATCTTTATTCGAAAAATCTGCAGACTTCATTTTTGTTGACAAATAATAAAAGTATACCCATCCACGAGGAGGACGCTGCGCCGAAATAGTTTGTCAAAGAAGCGTATGCCCGCTCGAAGAGAATTGCTCGATTAAATTGCACGGAACGATGCTGGGAAGCTTATCGACTTTTATTTCGTCGAGCGTGAAAATCTTATTTCTCCTTTGAGACACGATATCTCGTTCTGACCGAGATACTACGTTCGCAAGAAACGCTCAACACCAGTGTCGATCACTTAAGCATGCACACTCTTTTACTTACCTTACTTACATTTGTTTAACTTACAAATGCAGTCATTTCCTCGTAGCATAGCGGAATCATTTGCCTTTCTTTCTTTTTTTTTTTTTTAGAGAGAAATCGTAGTGCATTTGGTATTTTGTCGTTCATTCATTTTTGTATGTTTTATTTCCTCCCGCTTAGTAGAAAAAACTTTCTATAGAACGCCAAGTGCTCTGTAAAGTTACGTAGTACCTCTTTCGTCTATGGAATGGATGTTAGAATGTTTCTATCAGTTAATTAGAATGCTTTCTGTTTGCAGACAATGTTAATCACGATATGCATTGTATTTTAATTACGATATGAATGTTCGTTTTGTCCTCGAGACTTCGGAGAGCACAATGTTCGAAAATAATAATATCTAGAGTTACCGTGAATTATTGTTTCATTCCCGTCTCCAAGTATGTTATTACGAAATTAAATCGATCATTAAACACTCGTTGTTAACAAATAACACTCCTCTGAATGTAATATTTGTGTTTCGTTTTCAGTCTACACCTGTCGGATCCCTGCAGACCGGACAAGAGATTATTGTATCGCCAAACCGTGATCGACATCCATACAAGGTATGTGTACGATTTCATAATTCACATCCTATATCTCCTATTCTGTTATTTTTCTTTGAAAGAGAGAAACAGCATGGATGTGTGAAGCTTAGCTATTTGAAATAACAGCATGAATATACATTCTGTGGGTAACGGACTAGATTTTTTTTCGAATAACTTTCGCGAAGAAGATAGGTCGGTATAATTTGTCGGGAATTCTCGAAGACAGATCAAATTTGGTTTTTGCTTACATAAACGATTTTGTTCATTTGCGAAACACGGGGATGGTGTATAGGAATGCGATGATTTTGAGGAAGACGATGTAGTCCTCAAGTTGGATGAGGTCAATATCGAAATGCAGGGCAACTATGTAAGCCACTAAGAATTTTTTAATGCGCTGGTCTTACTTCTTCATGCATGTGTTACACCTAGTTTTATTCGATTGCATACGAGATACATACATCGTTCGGATATAAAGTAATACTTTCTATTCTCGACTCTTTTTCAACTTGAAATTATTTAATACATGTATGAAGAAACCAATAAGGACAGGCTGTATTTAAAATCCCTGTTGGCATATCCTCTTAGCACCGTTTCTGTCGATAAATTTGAATGTAGCTAGAATACGTAGTTGACGAGTATTGAGTAAACTGGTACATTGCTGTCGAATGATATATCATGCTAAGTGCGAAATTGGAGTAACACGAAGGAAGATGTATAGATTCGTTTATCAGGAGAAGATACGAATGTTGAAGGATTTCTTTTAATTTTTTCTTTCTTCTCCTTTTTTTAACGCGTTTGAAAGTTGGATTCTAGTGCTTGTTCCTTTAGGATGTGACAGAGCCAGGGGTGGGAGGCGGGGG